TCTTAAAAAAATAGTTAAGAAAAACGACTCCAGGTTATATTCATTCACGTTCTCACTTCGGAAGATATAGTTACATTCCTCCTTCTCCTGGTCATGAGAGCAATGAAAACGGTTGTCACTTGTTGTTTTGCGGCTTTTCAACGATTCACATGTGGCTGACGAAGGGAGAAGGTTAGATGGAGCGGCGAAATAAAGCGATGGGCGAAGTTAGCTCGTGTATGACAGGGTGGGTTCAGGTTGGAGATCGTTGGGCGAGGCTTTCGTCCGGCAGGGGAGATGTGATAGACTGATGATCATGAGGTACTCGATACTTCATTAGATATTCGAATTCACCTTTCTGTCCTCTTCATATGCTATTCGTATTCGAAAGTTTGAGCATTCGCACACTCCTACTTCGATGGCATCCGTACGCTTGCCCACATGTTTGTGCATAAACGGCCGCATAAATTCTGCCTAGTTGTGCAACTCAGCATTTACGAAGATCAGAAACCTAATAAAGGCGTGTTTTTAAAGGTTCTTTGCTGCTTGCAGCTCACAATGAATGGTTTATGCTTTTACTATTCGGCGGAAATCTTTCGCGAGTGCGGAGCAAAGACGAATGTAAATTAATCCAATTTTCGCAGGCCTCCGTTTTTCTCGGAGCCTCTGTAGATTGCTTTACAGTTTACCGAAACAATCAGACGACCGCCTTTCTGAACCATTCGCACAGACTGACAGGTCGCAGTTTTCAATGGTGATGAAACGATGAAATGATGAGGCCGTTGCTCTGAGAGTGTTCGTCGGCACGAGCACTTCAGAACGAGGCACGTGGCGCAGCATGTCTGTCTACACTTGCCTCGCTTTGATCGATATGTGACACAAACCAACAGGCCGGTTACCGGGTGGTCGCTGACCATCTATACTGGTCAGCGTCGTGCGTCTTCACACGCACACGCACTGGCACCTGTTTGTGCGGATGTGCTCACACGCACACAAGTACACTGTCATACGCGCACTCATTCCGCATCAAGGTGTCTGTCAGCCTCTCGGTGACGATGCATCTTCGCTGTGGAGCTGCTGCACCTCTCGAAGAGTCCAAGGATGGAGGTGGTCTTCCTGGGTACCTGCATGGATAAGAATCAGCAGCGGCTGTCTTGGTATTACTCACACGGTTCGAAAGAGTGCGAAACAGTTAGTACTTCGTTAAAGCTGTTCGCTCACTTCGAGCAGAGTCGAGCCCGACTATATAGAACCCAGGTAAATGGAGTCATCTTTCACATCAAACTCTTTCCGATCACGACAACGTCAATACATTGAAAATTATACGGCGACATATGACAAACACAGCCGGATGACTTCATATATTGTAGATCGGGCATCGAAAAACACCCCAAAAGTTGGCTTTTTCTGACAAACGTTACACCTTTTTTTTATCTTAGGGGACCCTCTAGCATGCATTCTGGAGGCCGAGCCGCTTTGTTAGGAAGACGCTGCGTGGAGTGAGTTAAATTTAGCGCTTGCCATCGTGTGTTTTCCGCCTCCATGATACTTCGTTGATGCACCCTCAGATGGTGAACAAATTTATTGAGTTTTTTTAGCCACACACGATGCATTCTACGACTGCGCTGACACCTGGTTTCGTGGTGCCTCTCAGAGACTGTTGAAGCCCAGTCGGCTAGCGGCTGTTGAATAGCCAGATAAAAGCTAGAAATCGCAGCCTCCTATCGCTCGAGGTCGGGGAGTTGCCAGTCGACAGGTAGTTGGAGCTTAAAGCGTAAGATGTGTTGAAAGTCTGCTTTTGGCGCATCGCAGTGGGTAGGTGCAGGCAAGAAAAGTCCCTGGTGTATTTGTGCTGGATGGGTGGGGGAGAGAAAATCACCGGGGTGTAGCTGGTACCCCGTTACCTGTTGCAGTTTGACGGGAAATTTATGTGTTGGTGGGTGTCGGAGTACTTGTTCTCTGTAGTCAGCAGAAATTTCTTGACAAGTGACCATGCGCTCACGAACGTCTCCCCAGTTGAGGGCCTGCCCTGCTGAGCTGGTGAATCCTCGAGCTAGAAAATGGTAGGCGTCGTTCCCTGGTGAGCTGAATGGTCGGGGACCCATAGAATTTAAATCAGCCTCCTAAAGGGAGGGATACAGGCTACAGGGCGTGATATGCCTCCACATGCAAAGTTGCGGATGGCAGTTTCCGAATGGCAAGAGATGAGACAGAGGGTGAGCAATTAGGCAAGGGAGATAGATTCTTCCACGCGCTCCGTAGAGGAGGTGTTGTGGACCGATCCAGTGACCTGCGGGACCAGGGAATTGGATATGATGCTTAGGGTGAAAGCTGGGGATGGGACGTAAGAAGCGGCGTCGACATAGATGGTTTCTGGTCACGTGTCATACTGTTTGTGTAGAGCATCCACATGGGCTCCTCTGTGAGTCGTGTGGGGCTTCGCATGCACATCTTCAGGGAGAGTACGTATCGTGAGGAGATAGTAGATATGGACCAAAATATTCGTCTGATAGACACAGTAGACATGTACGTTGAAGCCTATACAGGTGTATAGAAGTCAGCCAGCAGGGGTGGAGGACTGCCGCTCAAGTAGCGCCGACTGGTGAGCTTTGACGAGCTGTGCGTGAGTCTTGGGGACACTCGTGTAGGTGTGTTTTTTTAGTTGAGGTGTGATGAGGTGGGTTTGGGGCCGATTTGTAAGCCTGCCTAATAAAGACGTTAACATTATCTTCTTCTACGAGGGAGAGGCAATTGTAGGGTAGTGAGCACACTACCCTACTAAGGACAAAGGCTTCAAGTAAGCGTGCGAGATCATGTTTGCGCATGCCTCGGTGTTGGTTAGCTATGTGGCGGATGAACCGTACCTGCTGAGGAGCGGTAGACGCGAGTTTGGAAATAGTGGCAGTGTTTTTTTGGAGGAGAATACCGAGGATACGAATTTTGCAAACCTCAGGGATGGGAGTGCCGTCAGTAATCACTCTCAGCGTGGGTGGAAGTACGACGTCCAACCGTCCTTTGGAGGGATGAACAGCGAAGGACGAGGAGTTGGTATTTGGCGGGCGAGTTGGCTAAACCAACTATGGCTGCACAAGCCGTTGCAGCGTCAATGCTTGCCTGCAGTGTCTCTTACATAGCACGTAAATTGCCTGTGGTGGTTCATAAAGTAATATCGTCAGTATAGAAAGAGTGCGATAGAGCGGGAATGGAGGCCACGGTGCGTGCCATCGAAATTAGGTTGATGTTAAAAAGGAGTGAAGAAAGGACAGACCCTTGGGAGGTACCTCGGCTGCCCAAGGGAAATATGGATAAGGAAAAAGACCCGCAGATAATCTCAGCTATGTTGTTGCGAAAGAACATAAAAAGGAAAGTGGCAAAGCACTGTTGTGAGCGTTTGCCGACCTGGTGTAAGAAGAGCGCTTCCAGGATGGCCGCATGGTGTACATTGTCGAACGCTTTCGTTAGGTGAAGGGCTGGAATGGCGCGAATATGATTAGGGTGCCGAGAATGTAATACGTTTTCTGGAAGTTGTATAGTATAATGTCTTGGGTGGATAGGAACGGGTGGAAGCCGATCATAGTTTTTTGGGAAAAGTATGTGGTCTATGAGCTTCTGTATATTCCGCAGAGGATGACGTTCGAATAGCTTGCTTAAGCATGATGCGAGGGAAATAGCTGTTAGGTTCTCGATTTCAAGAAGTTTGCCTTATTTGGGAAACAAAGTGATGCGGGTCTGTATTCACTGCACTGAGGGTGTGACACCATGCCGGCATTGGTTGAAGGGGTCTTTATTTGCTTCAAATGAGAGTTGATCGAGGTTGAGGAGCATCTTATTTGTTGTTCGGTGAGCTAGCCCTTCTTGCGGTGGAGTCGCCGTTCGCTTTTTCACTAAGGTTCAGCGTTGGGCCAGTCAGCATTCTGCGTGTTTCCTCTTTGTTCGTCCATGTTTTATGCACTGTGAAACGTTGAAATTTCGCTTCTCCTATCGTTTGGTAATGTAATAGATGACGTAAAACAGATTATCCTGTTGTTTTCTGCAAATCTAGTGATAATAAACATGGTAGAACTTCGAAAAAAAAAAGGCCTGACGTCCCCGTTGCGTACCGCAACCCAAAAAGCACTATCATTAAAATATTGCAAAGCAAGGCCAACATCGTCCGATGAATGCGCAAAGCTACTCATGAAGATGCTGAAGCGCTATTAAAATTAATACAGTATTTTCTCGCGTTTAATCTGCCTCTGCATAACCACGCATCCCCACCTGCAAACTGCGAAAAAAAAAGAAGGAGGGAGGTGTCGTGAATGTGTATTTTATACATTATCATGTGGCAATACCGTTAACTAAATTTGCTAACCGAAATTCGCACTGCAAATACAATAACTTTATTAAAAGTTGTCATATGTGGATATGTCATATGTGGATATAGGGCTTTGTCAAGCAGATTTATACAGCTTTTTTCCTCTGTGCCAGCCACTTACTTTACAACTGTACGGGGTGAAAATAAACCAAATTCTCTAAAACTCTCTATATTAATCTAAATCTTCATTTTTTTGCGAGCTCAATATATTCGAGTTTGACAGTACATAAAAATGAATGAGGAAGACGGTGAAGTTAAAAAAAAACCGAGAAGCTGGCTGGTTCATGATGATTGGCCGGCCATTTTAAATATGTTTACTTCTCTTGTACGCTGTGTGTTTATACAGCGTGCATATACGCTCCGAAACACCCTTTAACGGTATGAGTGGTCTCTGCGAAAAACTGTAGTGGTGTGATTGAACATATTGAAAAAGCCATGAAGTCGAAGTTTACGTGACAGCTGAAAAAAATATTGTAAAAGGGTGCAAGATATTTTCTAAATTTGGGAAAATCACTCGACAGTGAAAGAATTTTGAGAACACTTAGCTACTCTGTTTTTTAAAGAACCTTTCGCTGGTTAATTAGTGTAAAGGTACGTTACCTGGGTGCAGCGGTTTTTCACTTGCCTTTGTAAATGGAAAAGCACTACGATGCGGAGGCATGGTTCGTCACTTGAGAATGAACTTCTTCCAGAACCGACAGTGGTCGGCGTGCAGTCCTTTGCCAATCCGGAACCGCTTCGGACTCAGCTCCATGTGCACTGGATTGAGCTCCGAGTAGCGAGGCCATGGCGTGCCGTCCATGGCTGGTGGTTTGCTGCAGGTGGCGTTAGAGACACAAGAATGTATCAGTATTAACCCCGACAACGAACACTGGCGTCGCTATGGTCGCGGCTATGTGGCGTCACGGCACGGACTCGCCTGCTTCGCCAGCACTTGTCGCCTTTTAACACGACAGTGTTAAAGAGCTCGTGTCGCAGAAAACCCGCCGCCGGCGTCGGCCCAGTTGGTTGTGAGCGAAAAACCGTCTGTGCGTCTGTGCCGGTAAAATCAAGTTATCGAGATAGCCGCACGAGGCCGCTACTTGTCTACGCGTGCGCGCGCAACCACACTGAAAAAGCCGCGCACACGAAGAAAAAAAAAAAAACAACTGGTCAAGGTCACGAGGCGCGATAGTTTGTTTGCCCTGCCTTCCTTCCCTGCTTAGCTTCCAGCGCTTTCGTCGGGACTAGAGAAGAGATAATGCAATTTCAGCATGCGACAAACCTTTTAGCCCCCGCCATGTACACGCTCTCTAGCGATACGTTGGTGATTATTCCTCAATTTCATGACGCCGATTTCTCAACATACAAGGTACAAGGTTTCACAACTAGTGAAAGTTTTTAAAGCTGTAAGAAGTATCCATAACTTAACTTAGGATACGCAGACTACCTTTTTAACGGAAGATTTATTGTGAACATGGTGATGCAGGGGAAGACGTTCGTTGTTTTTATCGCGTACACCACATAATTAAGAAAATATGCTGATTGGTACTAACGTTACTACAACTAAGAATAGACTCCGGGATTAGAACATGTCTTTGCCGAAGTATGAGAAATGAAATTGGGATGTTTTTAATTCAATAATACACTGCACTTTACCGTGCATGTTACGCCTGCATCTGCGATTCATCTAAATAATTTGACAGAACTGCGCTTTCTCAGCAGGAGACATTATGAATATGACTGTGATGAGCACTCACGTAACATATTCGTCAAACAGACAAAAAATAATACAGCTGTACACACAACGATTTCAGAAATAATTAGGTATTTCGCTTCACTTGGACCATATGTACAGGTTTCTTCTCAACAGTCGCCAGGGATTACGCAGTCGTATACCATGATTTGCGTGAAATGCTGGAGTGTTTAACGCCACGTCACAAATGTTAATGGAAGATTCACGTGGGAGCACCGCTGATAGCAACGATTTTAACACAAACGTCAGAAAGTGCAATTGAACTCTTTCTATATGACGCACTCATGGACGTGGCCCAAGCAGTGTCGTTACCAGGGGGTGGCTCACCGGGCCTGACCACAATATAAATTTCCGCACCTAACCTCAACCGCACTTAACCTCAATAATTTCGGTCAATTAAAGCTTAGAAATCATTGCGAGAGAAAGATTAAACTAAACAACGTGTTGAGTGAGCAAGTACACGAGAAGAACACACAACAGCGGCGGTGGTATTCTAGGGCGAGTACCTTCCGGTATATGTTGCGACACTCAATGCTGCACGCGAGCGCGGGGTTTGACACACTTGTGAAAGCGCTGTCCATAGATACGTGTATTCCTCTGGTACAAATTATTCTAGGAGAGGAGAAGCCCTGATATGCCCGAAACGAATCAGCCATGCTAATCTCAACCTTATAATTTAAATATCGTGTCTTAATTCCTTCTCAAAATCACATGGTTATGCGTCAATGAGTTTGTTGTATTCAAACAGAAGCGGTTCTTGATTTTCCCACCAGTCGGAATGCAGCTGTCGTCGCCCCAAATAGAATTCATCATCGCGATTAGCAGCGTGACAATGACCTTTTCATTCATCTCACATTGCTATACGACCCAGTGCGTGATTGTGCAGTAGAAAAAGTAAACGTTTTGTTCTTTTACCTGAAACCTTACTGAATGTATTTTCTTCATTGTTCTGCAGCTTGAGACAAGCAAAAAGCGAACGCAAACATTGAAACATCGCACGAAGCGAGCGCATCATTATGTAGGCGCGCCGCGGTTCGCATCGAAGAGTCCGTGCAGCGACGTCATCCGCCAGGCGGCGCCACTTTTACTTCTCGTGGCTTATAATTTAGGAGGAAGGCAGGAAGCAAACAGAAAGGAACAAGGCAGGGAGGTTGGCCAGAAAGACTCCAGGTTGACTGGAATCACATTATCCTATCCTGATACCTCTTACCAAATTCCCACTCACTGGGAAATTAGGGAAGGGGTATCAGGATAGCTTACAATGAGAATAAGGGCTATGGTGTAAATTACAGAAAGTGGGACGTCTTTAGCGTGATAACTAAAGGGGGCGCGAAATACACAGTAAACAAGAAAAAGCGTGTCGTCCTTTGCCGTCCTTTTTCTTGTGTGCTGTGTATTTCACGCACAACTCAATAATCGTTAACCAACGCCCACCCGCCCTACTTCTTATTTACTCAAGTCTACAACATATATACGAAGAAAATAATAATTCGACCTCTACATAAATCTGGTGTTCATAAACATATATTTAGACAAAAGACGTCTTTACGTGTACACTACTTTATATACGTATAAGGAAGGGATAGCCATTTACGCACAACTCTGTCTTTCGTGCACAACAAAAAAAAAAAGGGGGGGGGGGACATCGGTAAGTTTGCATGGAACACATTTATTACTATTAGTACATGTACTTTCGCTTTCCTTAACACCACCACATACAGGCAATCTTAAATTATATAAACACGTCGCTTGAGCGCGTATAACGCTGTTAGGTTATGCGAAATATTTTATTTTCTCCTTTCTTTATATGTCTTATTTGCATAAGTGTGTGTGCAATATTCTTGTGCAAAAAACAAGCCTTGGCTTAATGCGGTGAATTCTGTTCTTCAATACTTTTCATACGAGCGTTTCTCAAGCGGCAGGAGTGGAGTGTTGCTACGCCTCTGTTATCGAAACCAATGGGTCGTGAGCAATCAATTAAAAACGTGGCTGATCCCTCTATCTCGGAATAGTTATAACACGAAAGTTAAACGCGGCTTCACAGAGGTAGTTCAGCGTTTATTGCGCGTCGTCTTGTCACTAGAATGAATGCTACAGCAACAAATTGTGAAGTCACGCGAAGAACGGCAATCAGCTAGAAACTTGCAGCGCGCACCTCAAGCAGAAAGCATGCACGAAATCAGCATACAAAGGACGAGCACGGACAAACAACTGTCCCAGCTTGACACTTAAAGCGCGCTGCCCAGACAGAAACAAAGACGCACGAAACGGACGCAAAGGTATACACATGTCAAGCGCGAACAACTGCCACAATTCTTACTTCTTCGTGTGTGAGCAGTGTGCTCCTTTCGTTAACGCAGCGGCGGCAGCAAGAAGAAGTGACCTTTGTGTTCTCCCGAATCACGGGTCTGATAATCACGTGCGCAGGAGAGACCACCTTCCGTTGAGGAAGCTCTCAACCAAACGTGTGGGGTGACGACCTTGAGAGCGCGCCCAACGCGAGAACGTCGCGCCACTTCACCACTGATGACAAAAACTCCCTGAAGTTACGGATCTCGGATGATCACCGAATGGTGTATGGTGTATATAAATGGCTTGCAGTTAACAAACTTGACAATGTTTGTTCGTGGCTTAGTGGGTAGCATCGCGCGCTGCGGAACGTGAGGTCACTGGTTCATGCCCCAGAACGGAACTTTTCCTTCTCGTTTTATTCTTTGAAATTTGTCGGTGTATGTTTCGCTAAGTCATATCCGGGACGGAAATATGTAAGCGGAGCTGTGGTGGACCCCGGCATAAAACACTTTTGTGTTAAAACCAAAGAGAAAAAAAAAGAATATTCTGAGTGCGGTACCCATACATTTTTCTGGCATCGTTGTTGCATATGTATTTAACGAAACAGATCTAGTGCGATGTCAATATCCTATTGTGCATTTTTTATTGCTTCTTACGACAAACGCTGCTATCTATCTATCTATCTATCTATCTATCTATCTATCTATCTATCTATCTATCTATCTATCTATCTATCTATCTATCTATCTATCTATCTATCTATCTATCTATCTATCTATCTATCTATCTATCTATCTATCTATCTATCTATCTATCTATCTATCTATCTATCTATCTATCTATCTATCTATCTATCTATCTATCTATCTATCTATCTATCTATCTATCTATCTATCTATCTAAATTTAATCTTTCAGATTTATACAGTGCATGACCACGAAAGTGCAGCAATGTTTAAGCCCCGTACCGAGTGCTTCACCTCAGCTCTTGGAAAGCCGACCTCGATTCTTTTTCTTCTTCGTCCGAGCGGCAAAGCACGTCCGGAGAGCGGTTATATAACCGCCGAGGAAACAAGGCCGCCCCGCCGGCACCCGATAGAGTAACCTTGCGCCGCGTCAAGGGAAAGCAAAGCTTCTGTTTCTTCTTTTCCTCCCCACTTGCAAAGTGCATCACGCGGCGGTAGTTGCCGGACATTTCCTCGACTCCTTCCGGTGGCGAGCGCCAGAGAGAGGCGCGTGGGGATGGCCTGACCGCTTGGCCCCGATTTGGTTACGGTGGCGGCGGCAAACGACGGCGTTTGCCCGCGAGCTACTACATCCCGATATGCTAGGGCTTTCCAGCTCGTATTCGCTACTCCAATTGCTCGCATATCTAATCAATATTAATTTCTAGTGTGTTACTTGTCAAAACAGCGATATGAATTTGATGCACGGTGGACTGCATATTACCACGTTGTTTTCCTCAAGTTTTGTTATCACCACGTGCATCATAATCCAGTGATTAAATCATAAAAACATCCAGTGATTAAATCATCATAATCCAGTGATTTTCGAAAATCGTAGCGCAAACCGCGCCTACGATTTTCGAAAAGCTACGAGGCTGTTATAGATCGTTTTGTTAAGATTACGCCCACTTTCTCAACATTTCAGATCATTCTGGAACTTACGTCGCCGCTAGCGATAACGCTAGAACATTCCATGGCAAGCGTACAAATGCCAACGTGCTTCGCCGCTTGTCAGTTGATCGACGGCCGACGCTCCGTTCGCCAATATCCGTTCAAGACTTTTC